AAAAGTGCAGATCTCTATCCTTCTCAGACTCACAGAATCAGAATGTGTAAGGATGGACCCAATTAGACATCTGCATTTTATTGCGTGCCCAGTGTCCATGGAGCCACACTCACAGTCCTCCCTCCTGTGTGCCATGCTGGAGGCCAGATCCAGTGTCTCTGTGTAGTACCCATCCCTCACTTGACCATGAGAATAGAGCAAGTTGCTTCACCTCTCAGAGCCTCCATTTAGTTCCAAAAATGAGGTAACTCCAGAAGGTTGTTTGGAGATTAGAGTTAACCCTCAGAAGTTAGCCAAACATGTAGTTTAATTTAAAAGCACATTAAGCATTCCACCCAATCATAGAGACATTTGAAATCCTGGACAAATGTTGACTAGCCTTGACATCTAGTGTGGGAAGGTGAGTGGGGAAAGAGCCATGTTTAATTATATGCCCCATTTTCCTCCTTACTCTGCAAATTGTGGGAACTGTGGAGAGAAAGAAATGGTAGCATCTGCCAGTGCTAAATAGACCAAACCTCTTATGTGCCTGGTCATGAGACAGCCTGCTGTCTGTCACAGTCATTGTCAGACACCTGTTAGAGCCCTGAGCCACAGAATGTAAATGAAAGTCTTGCTTCAGGGAGCCTACAGTCCAGTTCAGGTTGGAAGCAAGAGCGATGCATGGACATTAACCACATAGTACATGCAGCAGGTGTTGCGTGAATACCTGGAGTAGCACACTGAAGCATGCCAGCTGGCAGATGAAACAGGACGGCTCCTGAAAGTGTCTGGCATTAGAGCTTAGAGTTAAAGGCTGAGGAGAAGGATTTTTATTGATGGAGATAGTGAAGTATGGGAAGGAACTAGTTCAAGATTAAGAGAATGGGCAGGAGTCTGCAAGTTTAAAGCCCAGCACTGCAAGTTTTCAGCAGGGTCCTGTTAGGCAAATTCCCTGGCTCTTAGAGCTTCAGCATCCTCCTCTATAAAATGGAAATCTCCAAGTACCTATGTCATAGAATCCTGGGAGGGTATAAAAAGGTAAATCAAGTTGCAGGTAAGGGCCTGGGACATAGTAAGTGCTCAGTAAATGTTGGGCTCTGATCAACCTCATTTATTAAAAAATATTTATAACATACTACACCAGGGACTCTTTGCTGTTTTTCTTGGCTGGAAAAAGTGGGCAGCATGAGGGACGAAACTGCTGCTGGTATCAGCTCTTATGTGCCCACCAGGCTGCACTCAGGCCTAGGACACCCACTCAGGGGCAGTGCCATTTCCCCTGAAGCCGCCCACCTGCCACCCTGCCCAGTTGTCCCTCTCCCACATCTGTCAAGCAAGGTAGGGTCCATAGGGTTAACCAGTTGTCACCAGAATGCAAGTTCTCACTTTGATGCTATAGAAGCTTTAGTCTTGGATGTGCCAATATGACCTCTACATTGGAGTCCGAGATGGTGGATGATGTCTGCTGAACAACCCCAATCTGCAGAGCAGGGGAGCAGAGGAGAGGGCTGAATAGCATGGCAACCTTTTTAGCTTTTTATGATATGGCTAATCGTTAACTATGCCAAGGTGAATTTTCACAGATGGGGCTGTCACCATTTATTATCCATGGAGTGAACTTCAACAAGCAACTTAAATTTCCTGAGAATCTGCTGATCTATGAAGCAGGAATAACAGTGGTACAAATGGCAAAGAGGAGTTGTGAAGATTAAATGTGACAATTGATGAAACAACAGATAGTTTGATGCCCTCAAGAGAAGAACCCTCAGGAAAGCTCAGGGGTCCTAATTCCTGGTGTTGGGGAGCTGTTCACTCAGGACCTGCTGTCCTAGTTTCCATCATCAACAGGCAGACTTAAACTGCTATACAAGGGAGAAAACATCAAGTGTAATCATGGGATAAACAGTTACCTTTAATTGCAGAATTAGAAAAGTTCTAAGAACAGTTTAAGACATTCTAATCTTGGAGTTAACTTAGGCATATTATGAATGATGATAATTAACTTCCAATTACTTCCCCTCTTGAGATTTAGGACTCCTAGGGGAATGGGCCCTGGAGCCAGCCCAGGGCTAACAGCGTGGCCAGTCTCAAGATGATGAAGCACCTTTGTGTGCTCATCAGGTTCTTCCTGCAGGAAAAGCAGGACACAAGCCAGACTAAGCAAGTGGAAGTGAGCAAGGCCCAGTAGCCTGGTAAGAATGTTCTCAATTGGCTTTTCTCTAAGGCAGAGATCACAGAGGCATGTCAGACTCCTGGATACAGCATATGTGGCATTCCAGGCTAGCTGTTCACACCCAGGCCCTACCCTACCACCAGCAACACCACTCCCCACCTCTTGGCATCACAGAAGCTGGGAGAATGATGGAGACAGCCAGGCTTTCTCCCCTCTGGCTGTGCCCAGAGGAGGATTAGAATTAGGCATGTAGGTAGGACACTGGGTGTCTGTCTCCCCAGGACCTCCAGAGCCTGAGCACTGGACTCTTTCCAGACATCCCAGTGGTCACTCACTCAGACATTCTCACCACCCTGCACTGAGGAGTCACACTTAAATGGCAGCGCTTCTTCTTTTTCACAGACACGGCCTCCTGGGGAATTTGCTCACTGAACACTTGCACACTTGAAAAGCTCCTGTTTTCAATGGTTTTAGCTCAACCAACCATCTCTTAGAGGGCTGTTTCCTCACTGGCTACTCAAAGTATGGTCTTTGGACTGGCAAGAGTAGCAGCAGTGGGTATACTATAAGAGCTTGTTAGAAATGCAGAATCTCAGCTGAGCCCAGACCTGCTGAGTCAGAATCTATCTTTTTTGTAGCACTGGGGTTGGAATTTAGGGCTTTCACAGTGAGCTACATCCTCAGCTTTCACAGTGAGCTACATCCTCAGCCTTCCTTTATTTCATTTCATTTCATGATACAGTATTGCTAACTCACTATGGTGCACAGGTTGGGTTTGAAGTTGAGATCCTTTTGCCTCAGCCTCTCAGAGTGCTGCTGGGATTACAGGTTTGTGCCACCATGCTGGCTTAGAATCCACATCAAAACAAGGTTGTGCTAGTTGCTTCTAGGCATAGAAACACCTGAGGAGTGCTGCTTCAATGGATGCACAGCCCCATCTAGCTATAGCACTCTGGTTCTAAGATGTTATGAAGCTGTTCTATGGCTCACACATACTGTTTTGATGTGAGATATGGGTGGGAGGAGAATGCACGGAAAACTTTATTTTAGTCTGGTCAGTAAATGGGCCATTTCTGTGTCCAAGGCTGCCCACTCACAACTAAAAACTCTCTCTGACACAGAGCAAGATTTCCTAACTGACCAGGTTGGACAGGAGAACCAGGGAGTGATACCTACAAGAGCCCCTGAAAGAAGAATTCAAAACCCCTCTTAAATCTATGTAACCAAGATTGTCTCCACTGCCCACAATCCCTCTGCTATAATGACCCTGCTCATTAAAGCAAAAGGTTAGAGATCCCAGCATTCCCACTGGGAGGAAGTTATTCAGCTGATACACTCACCTGGGTGTGCAAAGATATGCATGAGGATGCTTCTTCCACAATCACCACCTCTCATCTGGGGCACAAATACCAAATGTCACCAGGATTCAATAAATGTCACCAAGATTGCTCTAACCAGGTTGTCTTTCTTGCTGAGAAAAGGCACGTTCAATGACATTTATGTCTGACTCCAGAACATTCCAGTCCCTTTTTGATTGTACCTGCTTATTTTAAAATGTCAGTCTCATTAGCCACTTCAAAGCTTACTCTGCCTGCAGTGTAGGTAGGTTTGTGCCAGAATTAGGAGGGGCATGCAGGAGAAGGACAGGCTATCCTGCCTGTGCCTCTGACCTCCCTCAAGGACAAGGAACTCACATGATCGCCCATGTGAGGAGCTTGTCCCTTCCTGTTGGCCATTGTCTCTGATTTCCAGGCAGTTCATGGTTGTGTCAGCAGGCCCTGCTGGTGAGGAAATTGCTTCCAGGCAGCATCCATCCCTACAAGCATTGGTGGCCCTTCAGTCAGACTTGGCTTCATTTCTTAGCTGACCATGGCAGCAGCTGCCTTAGCAAAGCAGTGGCCTTGAATCTCATCTCCCTTCCATAGCCCCAACTCAGGGGCCAATAGGCAAGATCCAGATCCACTTTCTCCTGTCTCTGCAGAAGGAGAGGAACCTAGTTTGGGGCTCTGATGCTCCCCTTGTGCCTGGCCTTGCCACATGATTCTGCCATCTCCCATGGCCTCTCCCCCACTCAGCAACTGGTAAGAAAAGGAGAGGAAGAGTAGGGTGCAGCCACTTCAACCAAGCAAACAAACAGAGCTAAGTAAATACAGTGCCCATCAATGGGATCCTGGATAAACTGTAGCACAGCACTAACAAGATAGCATGAACAAGGTGCCACCTCTCTGTGGTGGCACAGTGTGAGCATCACGGTAGACTGCTGTGTAAAAAGGAAGTACCATGCATGGAGTGGTCTCATCTGATTCAAAAGCACAAGTACAGAGGCCCACGATCCCATAGCTACAATTTTTCCTATGTGTGTGGGGCTGGGATATTTTTAGGTCTCCCGTGAAAACATTCACTTTGGCCTCCTCTATGGAATAGAAATGGAGGGCACAGAAGGCTAGAGAAGAGACTTTGTATTTTCATTTGATCCCCCTTGGTGTCTATCATTTGAGTTTGTACCTTGTGTACATATTGCTTGTATACACTTACTTGCCTCTTTAAAAAACAATAACAAGGAAGATGTGCTTCTGAGCACGTGTCCCTCCTCTAGACCAGTCAATTCAGGCTTTTCACTCCCCTCATTCCCTTTTTACAATGTAGGTAGTTTTGTTTTTCCAGCACATGCCAAGTGTGGAAAACAGGCTAGGCCTCTGAGAAGGCAGCTCTTTCCACAGAAAGTTCCAAAGACAGATGTCCCCGGTGCAGAAGAATGGCGGATTCCAATTCCCAGGCTCCTAACTTAAAACTCCCTGACAAAGGCAGTAACCTGTGGCTCTTGTTCTGTTTGGATTTCCTGCAGATCACAAAGGCATCACGGAAGAGGCTCACCATGAGCTTGGCCTACTCAGAGAGCCACCAGATCCTCGTGTCAAAGCAGGACTTTCGTCTCTTCCGCACTCTTTTCCTGCTCATGATCTCTTTTTTCATCATGTGGAGCCCCATCATCATCATCATCATTCTCATCTTGATTCAGAACTTCAGGCAAGACCTGGTCATCTGGCCTTCCCTTTTCTTCTGGGTGATGGCCTTCACATTTGCCAACTCAGCCCTAAACCCCATCCTCTACAACATGTCACTGTTTAGGAATGAATGGAGGAAAATTTTTTGCTGCTTCTTGCTCCCAGAAAAGGGAGCCATTTTTACAGACACGTCTGTCAGAAGAAATGATCTGTCCATTATTTCTAGCTAGTTAAGGTGGTTTTTTTTCTCTTTTCTGGGAAGATTCTCTGGTGACCCACAGTGTGTATTTAAAACAAATTAATTTCCAGAACCATCCCCCAGTGTACCCTGCTTTGGGAAAATATAACCTATGCAAATGCACATCTACAGCATGGGCAAATTAAGTGATGATTATTCAGTATAAAAATATTTTTCTTTTATAAAAAGATCTACTAGGGGTTCCTTTTAATATGAACTTTTCAGTGTTTGTAATATAATTGAAGTTAATAAATTGTTTTTTATAGCTGTTCAGGAATCACATCCCCTACATATAAAGCCACCCCTTATGGTTTTTAGATTGAGTCTTGAAACAGAGTGAGGACTCAGATTGCTCCATTAAAGGGTCATGGTCACTCTAGGCCTCTATTTTGGGCTTGAGACATTTTCTAGGAACAATTAAGGATGATTTTTTGCCATTTATTAAAAATGCCATGGACCTTCTCAGGAGAAGCTGAGTCATGAAATCAGAAAGAAGGCAGGAAGACTCCAAAAAGTCTCCTAAGGAGATGACCATCATGGATCCACCCATCAGAAGACTCTGAAGAACCTGCTGTGGCCAGTGTCCTTGGTTCTGGGATTGCAGTCATGAAGCAGATGGCCATGGTCCTGCTCTTAGGTAGCTTATGTTCTTGTCAGAATGGGAGCCACATACTAAACAAAGTGAAAAAGCACCCCCTGAAGTAGTAGAGGATGCTGTGGGAGTGATGGTCATTTTGATGGGGTGGGAAGGGTATAGGAAGACCTTTCTGAGGAGTGACAGGAGTTGAAAGGTGAATTGCAAGGAAGAGCCAGCCAGCTGTATGGATCCAGGGGAGGGAGGAGAGACAGATGCTGGTGCAGAGGCTTGCTTATTGGTCAGAATGAAGAATGGTGTGACTCAAGCAAAAACTAACTACTGACTGAGCCCTCTCTGTACTGCACACACTCCCTGATGCTGGGATGGAAGGGTGCCCTGTTAGAGCCCATCAGTGCATGCCAGAGAAGCTCCAGGTCTAGGCCACCATAAGGTTATTCAGTGTTGAATGGGCACCACTGGAGTTTGCAGCTGCAGACTGATGACCCCTGATGAATGACTTTAAATATAACTCTGGCTACTATGCAAGCAATGTACTTTGAGAAGCAAGAATGAAAATAGAGACCAGTTAGGTAGCTGCTTAAATACAAAAAGTTGGTGGGCTTCTTGGAATTGGGTGACATTAATGAAGGACTGTGAGAAATGATCTTGGAATATACTTTGGGAAGGTGGCGCAAAATAATTTATTGATGGGAAGGATGTAGAATTGAGGGAAAGAGGATTCCAGGATGGCTCTAGCTTTTTAGCCTGACAATGGTTGGATGGGGAAGACTGGGAGAGAAGTGGGCGGGGCGGGGGGGGGCCCAGTGAAAGGGCCAAGAGTTTCATTTGGAGAAAATAAGTTAAAATCCCAGTGAGACATCCAAATGGAAAAGGTACAGAGATGTGGAGGATGGGCCTGGAAACACAACATTGTTAGGAGATAGAGATGGTGTTTAGAGATCTATGGTTTTATGAAATACCCTTGGAGAGAATGGAAAGCAGGAAGAGAGTCAAAGACTGAGCATAGAGACAATGCCAACATTTGGATATTGGGTCGATGATAAGAACACACAGGTCCTGTCACTTAGTAGGTGCTCAACAAATCAGTCAGTCCCAGTAGCTACTATCATTCATGAAGATTCTGGAGCAGCTTGCTTCTGAGATAAGGTGATGAACATGAGTTTAGGGACAAAAGAGGTCAAGGAGGCTTTCTTCACCTTTAGCTAATTGATACGGTAAATTAAAGCTCCTTTTTGAAGAGATGCATGGATATTTTCTGTCTTTGGGATCGTCAGATTGAAGCCAAGGAGAGAGGCTCTGAGCCTGCTGCTCCATGAGAGCGAAAGGCAGAGTTTTCCCACCTGTCTCCTCTACTTTTGGTGGAGACTAAGGCACATGGGGTGAGGACCTAACCCTACACCTCCCAGTGCCCTTTACAGACATCAAACTGGCAGTGTTGGACAGCTCCTACATAGGCTAAGAGGGTGTCTCATTGAATCACCCTCAGGCAGGTGTTGTTTTCCCACATTTCAAGAGAGAAATGTGGGGCTCAGAGAAGTCACATTTCCAGCCCCCATCACACTAATATGTGAGCTGGATTTAGACTTAAAATCCCTGCCCACTCCAAATAGGGGCATTGTGTTCTTTCCTCTAGACCTGGCTTCTAGGGCCCCATCTCCCAACTTCCCCAGAGAAACCTAAGGCTGCCTTCCCCACATACTAGAGACAGCGAAGGATGGGGTTGCTTACTAGTGCTCATCCTGACCCATGCATCTCAGCCTCTCACGCCCAGCCAGGGCTGAGCCCACTGCACTGCCTACTCAAGGCCCAGGGCTGACAGCCTTGGGCTTGCTGGTGTGGCCTGGCCACACTCTCTTTTTGGCCAAGGTGGTGATTGAGGCTTTCTGGGTTAATGGGGAAACCCTTTTTCAGGAAGTTGAGAGAAGCCACAGTTTTTAATAATGCAGATGAGGCATGACAACTGGCCAAAAGTCCCAGAGAACAGGAGGAAAGAATGCCCTCATGGTATATAAAAATACACTCCCACCTTCAGCCCATGAATACAAATAAAATTCAAATCATAGGAAGCTGGTGACTATATTTTAATAAATCAAAGTTTGGAATCCCAACCCTCAAATAGTCCCTCAGAAAACTTCAGTAGGACATACATTTGATGTGAACAAATTCTCTCCTTCCCACATACATTTTTATGTGTACTGAAGGTTTTATGTTCACCCAGGGAAGATAAGGAGAGGTGGGCAAACTAAACTCTCAAGATAAATAGAGATAAAGATTGAGAGTTAAGTGGAAGTTTTCAAATGAAACTTTACATCCTTGATGTTGCTACAAAAAATTTCTTTCCGATGTGCTTTGACAGTAACCTGAAATACAGAAAGCAAACCCATTAATGACAAGAAGATGGACCCAGGGCTTATACAGATAACAAATACCATGGTGGCCTTAGAGCCTGGCTTCATTCATATGTTTCTTCAATTCAAATTCATAGCAAATGCAAACCCTCAAAGTTAGATGTAGCTGTAACTCATAAACGCCCTCAAGGCTCTTTCTGAAACCCTTTAAATTCCCCAGCGGCAGTGGGCTGACAGCACAGGACCTGCTGTGTGAACAGTGCATCTTTCATTTTTGTCTTGCTGCACTTTGCAGTGGTGGGGATTCATCCTCCTATTTCAGGACATGAGGGCTGAGTCAGCCTAACCTCAGCCCTACTATTGGCAGTCTTATAGTGTTCACCATGTCCTATGTCATATGTCGCCACATGGTACCACAAGACTTCAGAGTCACAAAAATCTGAGTTTGCATTCAATGAAGCTATCTATTGGAGACCTCGGGCAATGTTTTTAATCTTAGCCTCCATTTTCTCATCTGTGGAATGTGGATAATAAGAGTATCTACTTCACAAGGTATTTCTGAGGATTAACTGAGGCAATGCAGGTGAAGGACTTAGTGGGGTGTTTGGCAGCAACAAAATCCTTTACCAGCCCTACATGTGAGCTGCCTACCAGGGTGACCCAGTCTGAGTTCCACAGTCTGAGTTCATATCTGTTTGGTGTAGAGGGTCAGTCAGGTGCCTAACAAAAATGTTCAGTTTCCCCGCCTTTTTTTGTCTATTGTAGCATGACCTGTTTGGTTTTGAAACCCAGTTTCCCATAGGAATAAGTGAGTGTTAATTCAAAAAGCACACTTTTCTCCACCATGTTCCTGGTTCTTAAATCAAGATAAGACAAAGATAATACCATAAAAAGATGCTATGGTTGTCCCAAGAAATCTCCCCAAAATTGTTAATTTAACAATTATTTGGTTTCATAGAGAATAAACAATGTTTATTACTACCATTCTCTATTGAACTCACTATGTTGGTTTCTACTTATGTTTTTATATCAGTGACCACATTTGCTACCCTGTTCTTCATGGATGACACTTAATTCCCGCAAATATTAATTTGGTCGAGATGGTTTTGTGGGGCAGTGGAGCCAAGAGCAAACTGGCCCGAGGTAGAATAAATGGATAAGTGTGTCCCCTGGCATTTCACTTAATTGTCAGGTTTTTGGCAAAGGGTCTTTGATCACTCCTACACTAGCCTAGGATAAGCCCAGGAAAAGACCGAGCCAAGAGGACCAAAACTTGGGCCTAGAAGGGTGGCTTCTTGGACTCTCTGGTTTCTCTAGTGTGCAGATGTGCACATTCCTGGGCTGGCCCAGGCTCCAGAGCCATCGGGAAGCACGACTCACCATTGTGTTCGATCCACTGATACTGCCTCTCCAGGCACAGCTCCTCCTGCCGCTGCCGTACCAGCTTCCGTGCCTCCGGGGTCAGGCCATTAGGGTTGCGGGAGAATACAAAGGAGTAGCTATCGGCACAGGTGCCATCGAGATTGAGCAGGCGGCAGGAGTACTGCAGAGCAAACGTGTTATAGTCTGTGTCGATGATCCAGTGGTCGTCATCTGTGAGCCACAAAGCCATAGCGTCAACCAACACCTTGCCCTCAGTGGGCCCAGGGGCTTGGGCAACTCACTATCTGTGGATTCTTGGAGTTGGCTGCATTTCCTTAGGAATCAGGAGCCTACAGAGACTTCTGACAGCTTTTATAAAACTGGGAAAATGAGAAAAGATTTCACTCTTCTTTAGAGAAAACAGTTCTGACTTGGAGGACACCTCATTCACATCAATGATTCCCTCTTTCCCTGACAATAAATGACAGAGCATCTTTCCAAAGGACCACTAAAGATATGACCCCATCAAAACCAACAAACAAACCTTTTCACTCCTATCATTACCATTCACTCTCTAGCATCTGCGTCTGTCTAATAGCTGATGGTCAAAAACTTATGTTAGCCCCAACACCAGGAGATATCTTTGTTGATGATATGTAGCAGCTAGTTCCTACCTGTCTCATTCACCCACTGCTCTCCTGCCAGGATCTGCTAGAGGAAGCCACTGACCACATAGCTTCTCTGGCTCCATTCTAATACCTGCTTAGGAACACTGCTCACTGAGCTGCTCATCTGAGCTGGCAAGGCAGTTTTGGCCTCAGGAGCACAAGAAACCACTATCTGGCATCAGATACTCCCTCTTACAGCTTGTCTTCTTCACAACTCTCAGCAGAGGCAGAGCCCAACCCTTGAAGAAGGCAAATCATATTTATTCCTCAAGCTGAAATGTAAGCAATAGAAAGTAAGTAAAAGTGAAGGTGGTAAAAATTATTCCCATAGGCAGGGTGGGAAGTAAGGTTATTGGGAATGTATAAGTCATTTGTCACAGAGAAAAAAAGTGTTCAGATTTATCCAAATATCTTATATTCAAATCAAAGTGCCACGTTTCTACCTAATTTAACCTTCTTGTTGACATGTAACTGTGGCTGGGACCTCCTGAGCACTAAGTTATGTGCCAGTCACTGTATGGACTTCCAAATGTTTTCTCAAATATTTCTCACATTGATCCAAAATGTACACTATTCCTCTCTATTTTACAAATGAGGAAACTGAGGTACTCAGAAACTAAATAATTCACCCAGGATCATAAAGAGCAGGGCAGAAGTGAGATTTAGGCAGGGGAATTGTGGCTCGATAGTCTACAAGTTTAACCTCTACGCCACAGTGTCTCAAGACACTTGGTAAATGGGGGGAACAGGAGACAGGGAACAAAAAGCTTCTGTGTCTCCATCTCACACCCCAGTCCCGAAGCAAGGGATAATCTGCCATTGCAGTGCTCACTCCATGTTGGAGGAAGGCAGGAACTGGATGCCCAGCATCTGAGGCCGTAAGGCCATCTCTACCATTCACGCTAAGTGGCTTCTAGGTGTGATTCTCTGAGAACCTCTAGAATCCCTACTGAGAATGGGGTTCAGCCCAAACCCAGGCCCTGCAAGAGGGTTATCATACATGAAGGGTGTGAAGAACCCTTCTGCAGCTCACTCTGGACCTGCCAGGAAGAAGAATGAGCCACCTCTGCACCTCCCGGGCTTCTGAGGCTTGGGGACATCCCAGACAAATGACTGCTCAGCAGTGACCACAAAGTTATTTAGCATATGGACCAGGAATGGAAGCTACAGGGCTGTTGCTGGCTTTGCCCTAACCATGGGCTCCTGGGAATCTAGGCAGTCTTTTCATCTCTGGATGAAGTCACCTCTGCTTTGGTTATGGGACCACTGTATTATCATAAGCATCCCAGGATCCTGACCCTTGGATATAAGAGTATCCACCTGTGAAAAGTGTTATCTCCATTCATGGTCCAAACAGCTAGCTAGTAGCTTTTTAAAGAAATCTGCACTCCAAAATTGTTGCCAGGATGTGAATTGTGTTTTCTAGAAATTACTAACTTTGTGCCCTTTTGTATTAGTTTTTATAGTTCATTATCAGAAAAAAATGTATCTTAAGGGCTGGGGATTTAGCTCAGTAGTTCTCCCACCTGCCTGGAAAGTGCAAGGTCCAGAGTTTGATCCCCGGTATCAAAGAAAAAATGTATCTTTTACTCTAAATGAATCACTTTGGGAAGTTTTACCACACTATTTGAAATAATTTATTACTCCTACTGATTAAAAACTTCTCCCCCTTGTAGTGTAGCAATTCCTTTGTATGGTGTAAATCAATATCAAAAACATAACTTGAAAAAAATGCCATTTCATCTAACACATGACTTTAGAATAAGACAAACGATGTGTGTCTCATGTAGAGCAGTAAGCTACACAAATGATATTTGTCTCCTGGATCACAATTGAAGAGAGTCCCCCTGAACGGCCCTAGGGTCTATACTTGGAGACTGCAGTTCAGGGCCACACAACCCAGACCTTGGCGTTAGAACTGTGGTTTCTGACACTGGCTCTCCTAATGTGACTGGACAAAGCACTACCTTCTCTGGGGTTCAGCTTATTCATCTGTAAGGAGACCACCTCTCCCTAGGGTTAACCCTCCCTCTCTAAGATCCCATGATAAGTCTTCCCTGACCTGCATTATTTTCTAGCTACCCAGAGAAGACTCCAGATTTGAGAAATGGGGATGCTGGCTAGAAAGCATATGGAGACGAAAGTTCTCATGATTAGGCCAAGTTTCAGGATGCTCTACTGGGTTTCCAAATCCCACCCCAGAGTTTCAGTGCTGTGGGAAAAGTGGTCACTGTCATGCTGAACATGGTCCCTGGCTCAGAATCTTAGTATTGGCAGGCAGGGCCCTTGGTAAGGAGCCACTCTGCACATTGCTCCTTCCCTCTCTGGATGGGGTGTGGGAACGTCAGCCTCCACTGGGGCCCAGGCAGTCAAGCTGTCTCAGGGATTCAGCCCAATCGGAAGAAATGCAGATTCAGCCGGAGTGGTGATGTGGGGAGATGAGAGGGTCAGTATGCAGCAGGTTACACACCTGACACAGTGACTGCGTGGGAAAGTGGCCCCTGGCAAGTTCAAGGGTCCTCGAGCTTCAGCCAAGTTTCTGGAACTGTGGGACAGGGGGCGCCTGCTGCTCCCATTCCCGACACCCTAACTTCAGGCGGGGCTGAGGGCTTCTGCCACTTACAGACCTTCCCACAGCTGTTCTTCCCGAGGTTGCCACTACAGAAGAAACACACTGATGTGGCCAGGAACGCCTCCTCTCCCCTAAAAGGTCCCGATGCGCTGACTACTCACTTCCTTTCTGGAGAAAGGAGGCTACACCCCAGTACTTCATCTTGAATTTGGC